AAAATTCTTTTATTTATTTCAAATTTTTTTTATTTTTATTATCTTTATTATTATTATTTTTTTAAGTTTTATTGCACGTAAAACTCAAAGCAGAAAAAGAGATTAAACGGAGTGAATTGGAAGAAAAAAGATTACATGGAATAAATAACTAAATAAAAATATATTAGTTTAATCAAGAATATTTATAATACTTTCACCTTAAAGAAAGGAGTCAGGAAAATGTTTCGAACCTTCGTAAAGGAAATAATAGGGGCGCCCAACGAGAATGTAGTTCAAAACCACTTAAACATAGCATTGTTAAACGTATTTTAGTATATAGGCATATTTTTATCCCCTAAAAATTTTTCATCTGTTCGACCGATTTCCTAGCTAAAGTCTAGTGATCCAAAAAATTATAGGGATCAAAACCTACCTTTTCGAAAATTTCAGCAAGAAACAAGGCTCCCGAAAGTTCTAGGTGACCTTTTTAGGGTAAAAATCCGTTAAAAATGGGCAATTATACCATTTTTTAAATTTTCGAAAATCCTAGGAGAGGCAGGCAAGCAAGAAATTTTACAACAAATTTTCCGAAAATTCTAGATCTCAAATCGTCCTCCGAACAGATATTTTCCGAAAATTGACGTTGGGTGCCCCTGAAATAAAACTGAAGCTCTTGTAATTTCAAAAAGACTCAAGTTGCCCTCGGATGACTGAACAGATGAAGACTTTATTCTCGGCTTTCACTCACGTGCCAGAAAGCAGAAATAAAACTGGAAACCTTTTAATACAGAAAGTCTAGAATCTGGGAAATGAAAAAAGATAAATATACAAAAAGCCTTGCCAAGAATCAGGTCTATGCAATAGTTCACTAATATGCGAGATATTCGGAAAAACGTTTTACCCTGATTTATAAAGCTTTCAGTATGGAGACGCCATGCTTGTGTCCCTTTCAGGGGCACAAATATGACCCAAATATGGCCGCCGGAAACCAACAGAAACATCTGTTGTTGAGTTTTCCTACTTATGCGTGAATTCTTCGCTTGCAGAACTCATAATTAAAGATTAAAGCAATATTTATTCTATAAGACAAGGAATGTTTAGATAGCAAAATCTCCAACAATCCGTAATGTTTTTAACCCACATAAGCTCACATAAGCGGCTTTGCCGGCCGCCGGTTAAAATTTGTTTGTATAAAGGTTTTAAGGTGGTCTATTATTACATGAAAGTAGAAACTCAGAAGAAGCGGTAGTTTCTTAGTTTGAATTTTGGTGACGTCATGTGAAAACCAAGAATATTCAGACGTCGTGCTTCTGCCGTGCCGAACTAAATTCCTGACAGATGCACGGCAGAAGAACGGCGTCTGAATCAAACTTTTGAATTAAGTTCGGCAAGCAATTAAGTTCGACAAGCGCTGCCGTGCTACACGACTCTGGCACTGCAGCGATTCAAACGTCGTGCTTCTGCCGCGCTAAACAAAATTCATAAATTATATTAATGTATTTTGGCGAGATTGCGTTCCCACGGGGAGGTGGGAGAAGATGGATTTTACTAAAATAGAACATTCGTAATTGAAGTCAATCAAATTTAATCATGTCTCCCCAGTGTTTGATTGCCACAAAAAGTTTCACAAAATCAAACTCAAAAAAAAAATTTGGCCAGTGAAATGCAAGCAAACATCCAACTTCTGAACTATTGATTTGACAATTGAAAATGCAGTAAATTGTCTCAACTGGTTTTACATAATATAATCACTGGCAACCCATGTGTGACTTCTGCCACTTTCTCATGTCCACCAAATCTGGAAACGGCAAAACTGACCTGACAAGCATGCTGCCTGCTTGC